GCTGCCGCGTCAACTCTGCCCGGCGGGGACAGTGTGCAGAGAGTACACGGAAGCCCGGGGGCTTTCTCAGCCGTCTCCATGGCGGCAGACGGTCATCGTGTTCTTCTTCAGTGGGGCCGCTGGTGAGTTCGAACTGCCAGCCTTTCAGGTGACTAGTCAACGGCCAGCTGTGGCCACCACCCAGGACACTGCTGAACTACCCACAGAATCCTCAATCACCACAGGGCCCACCATCCCACGCCTCTCTCATTCACTCCCTGCCGCCAAGGCCTTGTCCACTCACAGGGACCACGTAGGACAGGGGACACCTGTCCCTGGGGGTTTCCAAGACCGTAACTCTTTGATAGGAGTAGAAAGCTTCGTCTTGCTCCCACAGAGTGGCTGGGGGCTTTGAACAGTGGACTTCGGGGGTTAGTGGCCCAACATATCACCCAGCACACCACCCTCCTAGATATACATAGGTCCCAAAGAATTGAAAACAAAGACTCAAATAAGATACGCATGTGAATGTTCACTGTAGCAGCCTCTATCAAAGGACTTCAAAAAGCTCGTGGAAAACTGAATTAGAAGACATGGAATTTTTCCACGAACGTTTTGAAGCCTCCTCATCACAGATAAAAGCTGGAGATATACCAAGTTTCCATCAACTCATAAAGGGACAAACAAAACGCACACTGCAACATGGGTGAACCTTGGGAACATGATGCTAACTGAAATCAGCCCGACACAAGAAGACAGACACTGTACGGTGCCGTAGAGACAGAAGCCCAGAGCTTATAGGGGTAGGAAGAGGAGTTACTTTTTTGAGGGGCACAGGATTGTTGTTTGGGGTGATGAAAAAGCATTTTGGAAATAGATATGGTGAATACAATTAATGTCACCCCATTTACACTTAAAAATGACTAAAAAGGACAAACTTTGCTACACATATAAACCAGATTCTCAAAGGCTAACTATTATCATTATTAATATTATTATTTTAAGCTAGAAGAGCAAGCTTCTGTGTCTGCTTCTGCTAGGAGGAGGGGGAGCACCCTGCTCCCAGAGCTGGATGCAGGCAGGCTGCAGAGGCTGAGCATCTGCAGGCGTGTGGCCTGGGAAGGCCGCCTGGATCCTGCCCTGAACAGCCCTCCTGCAGCCCAGTGACCAGGCACTGGCTGCCGGGAAAGTCTGCCAGCCAAGTCATCAGCAACTCAAGAGAAAGAGTCACATCATCCTTGGCTTTCTGGGAATCCGAGTGGCTAGAAAGAGGTCACCTGGGGATGAAGGCATGCACCAAGATAGCAGGCTCTCACTGCGCGCTGGTAACAGGTTTGGTCCGCCTGCTGCCTCCTACAGGGCCACCTTTATTTGGGGCAGGAGACCTCTCCTTCCCTCTGGCTTGGGTCTACTGCACATGAGCAAACAGGCCCAGGCACCCCCTTTTACAGACGAGGAAACAGGCTCAAGGAAATCAAGGGGCTCACTGAAACCCAACCAATGAGCCACAGACAGCCCCAGGAATGAGGTCCAGCTCTAGCCACGGTCAAAGAAAGTCAGAAGTCCCAAAGTTCCCATGCTTCCAGCCGTACAGGAGAAAGTGGACTGCAGATGTTTTAGGCAAGAAGAGAGCTGAGATATGTCTGCTGCAGGGCTAGCCAGGCTGCTGAGGGCAGAGAGGAAAGCTCGCCGAGTCTGGCACTCAGGAAGCAACTGTGCATGCAGGGCAGAGGATAAACTTGGGAGGAAGCAGGTCTGCTTCCTGCTCTTCGGACATGACAATGAAACGGCTACACACTGCGAGACCGCAGGGAGAAAATCCAAATGTTCTC